TGTCAAATTTAATAGATGAATACCACTTTTTCTAGACATTTTTATTGTGAAGTCAAATTTGCAAAAGCAACTGTAAGAGGGAAGTTGTGGACAGAAGACATGCTAAGTGTGAGTCATAGAGGAGGCATCAGCTATTCAGACAAATAATTGAAAACCACAACCGATTCCCTTCCCTTCCCATCTGCTTATTCCCTTCTTTTCCTGGCTGGGATATGTAGACACCTAGGAAGTGCAGTAAGGAGTAGTGAGGGGCAGTGCAGCAGTGTGGACAGTGGTGTGCCCCAAAGTCCGAGATCGTGAGTAGTGTGTAGTGGAGTCAGTTGGTGTTTATGCAGGTTGATTGGTTGCATTGAACAAATAAGGTAATTGACCAAATAAGTAAATATTTGAGGATAATAGGAGGTAGGTTTTCTTCTGAGAAATACAGAATGGGTAAAAGCAAGAAAGAACTCTAAGGCATTGGTTGGATTGGAAGTGGAAGAATATGTATGAAGTTATGAGTTTAAATATGTGCATGATAAATAAATATATGTCCGTACATTAATGTATGTATATATAGTTGCTGCTCTGATCAGGAAGACTTAAGAAGCAGGTACCCCAATGGCAATTAGTATACCAAGTGCTTACTTTCTAAATACCATCTTCTACTCAAAGAAACCAGGGTATGAATAGATTGAAAGTGTTATTAAATTAACATTAACTGGGTATCAATATAAATTTAACACAAAGGTAGGGAAATGTTTCCACTGGGAGGGAGGAGTGAAATCTTGGACAACATGAAATGAAAAGTAATGAATCTCCCTATAGCCCTTCAAGATTAAATTTACCCAATTTTTAATCAATTTCATTAATATAAATATTTTAAATTATCTTCAACATAAATATTTTTAAAAATGATCTTCAAGTGTGTTTTATAGCTATTCAAGGGCAAGTATTTCCTGTTTATTGGTAAATTTTAATTTCTAAAATTAATTTGAATGTTATTCTGAATTATGTTAATATATGTTGAATTCAGCTCTGTGTTTACAGAGAACAAGATTTGGAGCCAGCAGGTGGTGTGGTGAAGGCACTAGACTTCCACATGGCTGACTGTCATTCAAGTCTTGGACCTAGTGGCTTGCTTTTTCACTTTCTTTTTCTCTCTCTCTAGTGAGCACACATGTTCTATAGCAAATTAAAAAACAGTAACAATAATAAATAAAATTAAATTAAAAAATCTTAAAAACCAATAAAGGGAGCAAGGTTGTCAGGCTAAACAGCAGTATACCAAAAGTAACTGAAGATAGAAAAATGCTTGGGAGCAAATACACTAAGTACTTTTTAAAATTAGAGTAACTTGTCTGTTGAAATAATTTATGATATTAAATGACATATCTAGTTAAATTTTTTAAGAAACAAGGTTTGAGGGACATATACGTATTTTTAGGAGAGCACCTGCTTGGTTGTTTAATAATAATCCTGATGCTGGGGGCAGACAGATGGGGTGATGGTTATGGCACTGGATTCTCATATGGCTAATCATGGTTCAAATCCTGGACCTGGTGGTGTGCTTTTTCACTCCCCATTACCCTCACCTCGCTCTCTGGTCAAATTAAACAAATAATAATAAATAAAATAATTCTTTAATAATAATACTGATGCCAATAAGGCCAAGGTCAACATAATTGATTAAGTGGACTGAGTCAGAAACCCATTGATAATGGGTCTCAGTAGCTTCATCAGAAAAATTGAAGTTGGTGGTCTATGATTTGAGCTGTACACTGTTCCAAGGTTATAGTCTGAACTCATCACCTCACTACCTCGCTTAACAGTCTCAGATGCACAAAAACACAGTTTGCATTGTACAAATCTTTTTTTTTCTTTGTTCTTAATTTGCTATATGGCACATACACTTGCTTGAGAGAGACAGAGAGAGAGAAAGTGAGACAGCATCACCAGGGGGGATGGCACACTTCCGTCCCTTCTCCTCTGTTCTTCTCTTGGCATTTTGGGCTTGTATCCTGTGTGTTTGGTAAGCTTCCAGGTCCAGGAGTCAAACCATGCAGTTGGCCTTGTGGGATTCAGCCTCTTCATGCACTGGCTGGCCCTTTGTACAAATCTTTTATTTAAAAAATTTAAAGGACTAACTACAGTGGTGTGACAATAAGATAAGGTTCTGTGATGTTGGATCTACATGAGGAGCTCCTGGGTTGAATCCTGGGGCCTCCTTATGCATGCCGGGCACACACACACACAACTATGATTTGAGTTAGCCGAGACTGAGGGTGGATTGCAGCATGAAGATCTTGTTGGGAGTGCCTGATTCTCTTTATTTCTCTCTCTCATGAAAAAAGTAAATAAATAATAATAATTTAAAATAAATTAATATGTACAATTTTTAAAAACCTAAAATAATTTTTGTCTTTGGGAAACAGTTTAGTATCTGCTCTCACTATGGATTCTTGTTAGTATTTTCTTTATATAATAACAAAGTGATTAGACCAGGACTTCATCTTAAGATTTCATGAATAGCCTAGTCTCTCTTTTCAAAGATTTATTTGTAAAATGTTATCTTTTAGATTGTATTATGTTTTTTAATGCTGCTTATAGATTTATCTAGAAAATTTTCAACTCTTAATATTTTTTTCAATTTTCTGATAGCTTTTGAATTTTAATATCTGACTCAAAATCCAGTCTTATGTGTAATGTTTTTGAACAGGGTTGTTTTATTTATTGGTTCTTCTTCCATCTGTCCATCTTCATTAATTCTCTTCTACCCAACCCATATCACCTCCGTACATTTTTTAAGAAGCCATCTGCCAAATGATACTTTAGTATGAAGCATCTGTTTTCAAATTTTGCCAAGAATAATTTTTCAACATAATTTTCCATTATTACTTTTCATCTCCATTTCTTTTTTCTGAAACATGAGAAACCTTAGCTGATATTTAAGGAGGCCAGTACCTTTGAACCAGTACCATGCAAAAAAATTTAAATGTTTACTCTAATAGTATTTAAATTGTTTGGCCTTTTTAGATATTAAGTTTTTAAAAGCATGTTTCATAAACACAGCAGTTATAGTTTTTCCCATTATAAAGACAAAAGTAACTTTTCTCACATTTATGAAAGGAAATATGACAAAATTGTGAATAAAACAAGAGTAGTTTCTGTACTAATTTTAAAGACACCCTCCTTCTCATTTAGCAGTATCCTGTAAGTTCAGGGTATTTTCCAGGACATGTCTTTTCAGAAAAATGCTGTCTTTTTGTCTTTGGCTATTTCATAGGAAATGTTTTACCTCTTGAAGGTTAACTGATACATAAATAAAAATTGTAAATCATGTTCCAGTTTTAGCATAGATCATATAAACAATATTATAAATCTTTCTCTTTGCTAATAATTTTAAAAAGATTTATATTTCAATTCACTTATTTTTAAATTTCATACTCAGACATGTATAGATATATGTATATAAATATATGTATACATATATAGAGCCAGACAAATTATATGTATGTGGTTTTTATTGGTTGTCAGAAAACTCATGATGCATTTTTTGCATAGAAAAACAGAAAAAATACATCATGAGTTTTCTGACAATCCAGTATATATCCATAGTATTATACATATAATATAAATAATATGGTTTGACTTAATATTATATATATTATCTAGCTATCTCTATATGATTTGAGTCCATTTCTATTCAAGAGATTAGAGATCTGCTGTTTATTTGACTGTTACTCAGTTTTTATTCCCCTAGTATTAGGCTACTTTTGATCAAATAACGGAAATGGAAGATTGCCTGGAGCTCTTTTGTTACATGCTTTTGAAATATTGAAGAATGCCCTAATCTCTTCTTTATGTAAGCAGTACAGTGGAACTTTTTTTTTTTTTTTATTGTTCTACAGAATGGTGGAATGTTCCTAAATAGATCACATTTGCTTACCATTCTCGTAAACAAAATTCTCTTATTAAATTAAAAGAAAAAAAATCTATTCAGTTATATATCCTAAGGTGAAATATGACCTATTTTTAAAGAACCTACTCAAGTGTGAACAGTGACAGTTTTAATTTGTTTTTCTGCTCATATATGATAAGTTCCCTCAGCAAACGTTTTGCTTATGAGGCCTTGTACTGCATGCTGTTGATAGAGAGATGATAAGACAGCTCTTGCCCTCAAAAAGACAAATATCCTTATTATCAAAATTTATGCTCTTTAATTTTTTATGGCTATTTTTGCACATATACATCTATATACACTAACAATAATCAATATTAAATAATGAGATACTAGGATGTGGAGGATGTAGGACAGTAAGAAACAGTGTCAGGGCCAGGTGGGATGATGTTTGCATAACTGGACCCACATGGGAAGGGTACTGGGTTTGTATCCTGTACTTCCCTAATGGTGCCAGATGCCCATGTGCACTTATGTGCGACTGGGCCAGGTGAGAGTAGGGGTGGATCATGATGTGAAGACCTTGTTGAGAGTGCTCATCTCTCTCTCTTGTAGAAGAAATGAAATAAATAATAATAAAAAAATAATAGTATACATTTTTGAATGCTTGCTAGGAATATCTTGAGACATGGTACCTTTTGTAGGATCAGCATTCATTAATTGATTGATTCAGGCCAGCAGGTGGTGTAGAGATTAAAGTACTGGATTCCATATGACCCATTGTATGGTTTGAGTCCTGGAGTTGGTGACTTGAAAAACACACCTGATCTTTGTGCGTGAGTGTGTACCCTAAATCTCAAGAGGAGAGTAGAAGAGAAGGGATTATGGCATGGGCCCTCTCCCCTCCCCCGGTTACTTTCTCAGTCTCTCTCTCTCTTTCTCTCCCTCCCTCCTTTACTCTGGGGTTTCCCTCCCTCCCTCCTTTACTCTGGGGAGCACACAGACCCTATAGCAAACAAACAAACAAAAAAAACCAAAACAACATAAGTTTATACATGATTTGTATTTTCATTTCTAACCTGATCAAAGGCAAAATGTTGATGTTAACAATGGAAATATGTGTTTCGTTTCATTTTGAGTTTTTGTTGTTGAGATATAATTAACATAAAATAAAATTCACCATGTTAAGGTAAAAATGCAGTTGGTTTTGGTAAATTCACAATGTTGTATAACCAACGTCAAGAAGAAACTACATGCCTGTTGGTTACTCCCAGTCTCCCCTCCTTATTCCAGTCTTTGGCAACAACTAATCTTTTTGTCTGGATTTACCTATTCCGAAAATTTTACTAAAATAATATATATATATGTTTTTAATTTGTTTAGACACTACCAGAAACATCTTTACAGCACTATGCCACAAATTTGAAAGACAAGAGTTCTTTAGTTTCATCTCTCTATAAAGTTATTCAAGAGCCACAAAGTGAGGTGAGTGCTCTTACTTACAGTTTGTTGTGCTAGTATTATTCAGTTGATTAATTTTTATTTTTTATTGTGAAATATCACATATATAAAGGATAAGATAATGTGTATATTTAAACAATAATAATGAAATGAACTGTAGTGTTACCATCTCCAAGGTGAAGAAATAGAATTAATACCATATTCCAAGAGCTGTCTCTGAACATTTTGTTTTCTCTTTCACTCTCTCTCTTTCTGTGTTTCCCTTTTGCTGGATATGTTCATTCAGCAAATGTTTGTTGGTGCCTTTTTTTGAGCCATCCACTATGCTAGGCAATAGAGAATCAAAGATGAGTAAAATGTGGTTTTTATCTTGGGAGAGGAAAGGAGAAAATAAGTAAAAACATGGCTTCAAGCCAGTGCTTAACTGAGTCTGTAGATAGGCATAAATTTTCCAGGTGGCAAGGTACAAGGACATTCTAGGCAGCAAGGATAGTATATAGAGGACTGAGAATGTTCAGGGCATTTAAAGAAAGGCAGAAATTTGGTGTGATTGGTGCCCTTCCCAGTTACCTCTTGCCTACTATCTTTTCAATTTCTTTTTTTTTATTTGAAAACAATAGAAGAGGGAAAATGAGAAAGCAACTGTCATGGAGAATGGTCACAATGCAGTGCCTTTTCCTCCCTTTCTCTCCCTTTTTGGGATTGTGAGCACACACACACACACACACACACACACACACACACACACACTTGCGTGATACGTTTTCCTAGCCTTTGAGTTTGGGACTTGAACCATGCAGTTGTCAGCGCAGGATCCAGCCACCTTAATCACCATACTACAGGCTGGCCTACTTCCATTTCTTTTTTCAGAGAGCCAATTTTGTCCAAACGTGGTAAAATAATCTATATTCCAGATTCTGGTACATGTAAATCCCATCTTTCAGAGTAGAAATAGAAAAGAACTGGAAATACTGTGGAAAATAAAAAGGCTTGACACTTAGAAAAAAAGCCAATGGGTGAGTGCAGTAGTTAAGAAGACAGGGTGATTGTGGTTGAAGCGTGAGCTAGAAAGATGGCTTTATGATGTTAACATGATGGACCTCAAATTCCATCTTAAGCAGTGAGACTTTTTTTTATGCGGTAGGGGTGACTTGATCAGATTATTGTTTTAGTAAGGTGGCTATGTAGAGGATAGGTTAGAGACTAGAAAAAAAGAAAGCCAGAAGAGTAGGAGGCTGTCTATGATGATACCTTAGAAGTGATACACTTGAACTTGGTCAGTGCTAAAGGAAATGGAAAAAGGTGGAGTAGAGGGAAGAGATCTGGGGTTCATAATTCCTTTTGCATCTGAGTAGATGACATGATAGATTTTCTAACACTATATTCAGTGGCAAGGTAATATACCCTATACTATGGTCCTGTATTGATCTAGGTACCAAATAACTACCAAACGAGGGTCTTTTGTTATTTGAATAGTTAACCTGTTTTGGAGGAAGAGTGGAATAGCTTCTATTGATTATACTATTTTTTTTTTTTGAGAGGTTTTTTTTTTTCACTACAGGGCACGTGCGCTTGCCAGACAGACAGAGAGAGACATAGAGACAGAAAGCGAGAAATCACCCCCCAGCGGGGATGGTCACGCCACAATCCCTTCTCCTCCATTCTCCTCCCGGGATCTTGGGCACGCACGCACATGCGCCCGGCGTGAGTTTTAAGCCACCGGGTCCGGGACGTGAACCGTGGTCGACTACGTGGTAGTCCAGCGACATAGCCATTACGCTAACTGCTGGTTCCCTACTGATTATACTATAAAGCACATCATGAATTTTAGATGCTGGAGGCATTATTCCATGTTTGGTATAGATGTAGAATTGTTAGGTACTGAATAGATTAGGGATTTAAATTGACAAGACAAAAAACTAACTGGATTAATTGAATAATCATATTTGGCTTGTCTCTTTCTCTTCCTCAAAGTTTCTTAAATTGTATAGAGGGTATAAGTAACTTATATTCTTGAAGGGTTTTACCTTTTAACATATTTGGGTGGAAGCTGTTTTAAGGTTGTTTTATTTTTGGTTTGGAGTTAGTTCACCGAATAGAATAAGTATATGTGCATTATTATTATTATTATTTTGAGAGGTTTTTGCTATAAGGAGTGTGTGCTCTCCAGAAAGACAGAGAGACAGAGAGCGAGAAATCACCCCCGAGGGGGGATAACTGCACCATAATCCCTTCTTCTTCGTTCTCCTCTTGGGATCTTGAGCACGCATGTACACGCTCCCAGCATGCATTTAAGCCACTGGGTCTGGGATTCAAACCGCAGTCGACTGCATGGGAGTCCAGTGATGTAGCCATTACGCTATGTGCTGGTCCCTGTGCTTTATTATTTTTTAAACACATTATATCTTGCTTATCATTTACCAGTAAGTATTTTGAAAGGCTTAAAAATTATTTCTTTGATTAAGTATGTCTTAACCAGGCTACCTTGGAAAGAGTTTGTAGGATACATTTTTGATTGGCTAGTTTAGTATATAGCATTCCTTTTACTCAGATAGCTCTAATGAGTACAGCTCAAGTGATTAAGAGCAATATTTGTCAAACTATTTATGGCTAAGGGCCATTCTTTTAAGAAATTTTCCTGTAACAGACCAGTATGCATGTCTAATATCCGTGGCTAACATGCAACTCATACCACATGTGAAGCCCTCCGTATACTGGAAATTCCCAGCTGATCTGTACCCTGTTCAGTAATCTGCTGAGCACGCACTTGGATGTTGCAGCAATACCAAGTTACTATAAAAGTCTCTAAATGTTCCCTCTCCATTTCTGTATTTATGTTGTTGGGGATTACTAACCATTCATGGATGGTACTCCATAGCCCACACTTTTAGAAGCACTTGTTTAAGAGGTTTTGTGTTTATGTTTGTTTTAGGTTTTTATTCTTGTTAATGTGGTGATGACAGTGTGTACTCTGTATTCTTAAAAGATGTAAATACTCACATTTATTCAGAAATGCTTCTAAAGTATAACAGTGTTATCAGCTTTACCATTGTAACCTTCCTTTACTCTTTTTTAAAAGAGTTATTTAATTTAACTTTATTTATTAATTTATTTAAATTTTACCAGAGAGGGACAGAGAGAGGGAGAGGGAAAGTGAGAAAGCAAGCCACCAGGTCCAGTACTGGAGCCACAGTCGGCCATGTGGGAGTCCAGCGCCCTTAACTACTGTGCCACCTGCTGACCACCCCCTTTACTCTTTAGAATATTTTGTGTTTTAATTTGGAGATATTCCTAAGGAGTTGATATCATTGTCTTGGTCATTTTTGAAATTTGGCACATTGGTTCCAGGAAGTTAGGCAAACTTGGCATTTGGATTTACCGATATAATTTTTTAAAGAATTATTTATTTAATTTTTAAAATTCATTCATTTATTTTAATTTGACCAGAGAGAGATAGAGAGAGATAGAGAAAATGAGAAAGCAAGCCACCAGGCCCAGGACTTGAACCCTGTTGGCCATATGTGAGTGTCCAGAAACTTAACCACCACAACACCTGCTGGCCCCCTACCAATATAATTTTTTCATTATTCAGTTTTATTTATTTAATTAATATATCTATATAAACATATATTTACTTAATTTATATGTTTATAAATAAATATATGCATGCACATGTGCCTGGCATGAGTTTCAAGCCACTGGATTCAGGACTTGAACTGTGGTTGGCCACGTGGGAGTCCAGTGACATAACTGCTATACCATCCTCTGGCCCCAATTTAATTAATATTTTTTGAACACATGTAGTGTGCCTTCAGGAACCACTTGGGAATATAGTAGAGAACAAAATTATTTAATTTCTTGATCTTACAGATGAGAATTTTTATTCTATCAGGAAAGATAGACATTTAACAGATATCTGAATGTACTGAATCAGTGATAAAGCTATGAAGATAGATAAAGTGGAGTAAGAAAGTATGTGCGATGACTGAGGAGGTGTTAGGTGAATTGAGATCTGAGTGAATTAGAGGGAGGGAAAAAAAAATCAGGGGCAAGAGCTTCCCAGGGGGGAGGGGACAGTAGGTATAAAGGCTCTGAGATAGGTATGTGTGGTACATTGAACAAAGTGAAGTTTATATAGGTTTGGTGCTGTCTAAACGGCTCTTTTTGTTAACTCTAAGAGAGGCAGTGTTTCCACGAGGTACTGTACATTCAAAAATTCAGCCCAGACACTAGGTACACAGCACGTTCTAATGCTTCATTGCTTGCCTCAAAGATACTCAGGTTAGATATGTCAAACACTGCCTGTATTTCCTACACTATATATTGGCTTATTCTTTTCTGGCTTTTTCAGGAGTGTTTTAAAGGAGTCTAATGACCCGGCTCCAGTTCTGATCCTTCTGAGTCCCAGGTGGTTTTGGTCATGGTGGATAACCTTTATCTCAATTTCTTGATGTATAAAGTATGAATAGTGAGGTTTTGTGGGAATTGAACTGGTTCATGTGTGTGAAAGTGCTTTGCAAGGTGTGAAACACTGTGCAGATATTGGTATTTATCTTTGGTAGTTTCAAAAGCATAATTTATCTAATCTTGCTGTGCCATATTTTACATTTCTACCTCCCCTTTGAATCTGTCTTCACTTGGTTCTGCTTTCATAAGGCAAAAACTGCCTTAATTTTGTATTTTAAACTGTTTAAAAGCCTTCTGAGTGTGTTTTGATCAAAACTGATTGCATTCATATAAACTGTCTTGAGTACATTTTCAAGTAAGGTTTTCTAATTTTGCAAATACTTCTTAAACTATATTAATGGATCTAGTTGAAGCTTTCCTAGGGATTTAGAGATGCAGGGTATTATACAGTAGTACAGAATAATTGATGATGGTCTACCACAAAAGCTATGTATTCCCTGCTGGTCTTTCTTTCTACCAGCTACCGCTAACCTGATTTTTTCAAATTCGTATTATAAAAACTTTTCTTACTATCTATGAACAGGTTTACTTTGCCTTCCATCCCTCTGGTTTCCTGGTATCTTTCAACAGCCACAATGGACACCTGTTGCTCTCTAAAGACCATTTAGAGAGGGAAAAAAAATATTCCTCATGGAGGATTAACTGTCAGAAGTTAGATAATTTTTCAATAGGAGAGACTAGCTTGACTTAGTCTATGTCCATTAAAGTATAACTTTTGGGTTATCTTATATAATTAATATTGTCTTTAATTATACCGTTTACATATTTAACTTATTTGAGATAAAAATATCCATTATAACTTAGTTTTATTCATTACAGTTATTGATACTAGAAAATCTATTTAGTAAATTGGTTTGAATCTGTTGCCTAAGTTAGTATAGTTTATTGAAAATATAAGAAACCCGATAGTTACCTTGAGAAATCAGTACCTGGTGAATCACTGGACATATTTATGACTTACATGTGTTCGTTGTACATGTTTCAAGATAATACCTATGAGAAGGTTTTACCTTGCCTTTCTGATTTAAAAAAAAAAAAAGATTACGAAGATACAGTCAGCCCTATTAACTGAATAATGTTGGGGTTATGGTGGAGAGGAAAAGGTCAAATTATGTTTAAAACAAATTACAGCAATGTTTAGATTATCCAGGGCCAATTCACCATGGTTATAATAGGGGTGTAGATCTAGGGCTCTGTGATTATTCAGTCACCCTATACCATCATTGCTGTCAGATGCTATCTATTAATAATTATAAGCTTAGGAGGGCAATGTGACAGAAACTACCCAGGATTTTCATTTCAATTTCTTCAGCCCTGTAGCCAATCATTTATATTTTGACATCTATTTTACCATGAAGAAAGGGTATTAAGGAAGAAAATTCCTACAACCTAGCTATTTTAAGGAGTTAAAAAGACATGGTTTTTACCAATCTGGGAAAACCATTTGTATTATTATTATTTATTTTTTTGGTGAGAGGTTTTTGCTTTAGGGCACATGTGCTCACCAGAAAGAGAGGCAGAAAGCGAGAAATCACCCCACCCCCTCCCAGAGGGAATGGCCACGCCACAATTTCTTCTCCTCCATTCATTCTCCTCTCGGGATCTTGGGCACGCATGCACACATGCTGAGCATAGTTTAAGCCACCAGGTCTGGGACTTGAACAGTGGTCAACTACATGGGGGTCCAGTGGCATAGCCATTACACCAACTGCTGGTCCCCCATTTGTATTTCATATGAGAGTGTTATTCAAATTCAGTCCAGTTCTTGAATTAACATTTCATCTTTCTTCCAGTTGCTAGAACCTGTCTGTCACCAGCTCTTTGAGTTCTATCGCAGTGGAGAGGAGCAGTTGCTTCGATTTACACTACAGTTTCTCCCAGAACTGATTTGGTGCTACCTTGCAGTCTCAGCCAGCCGGAATGTGCATAGCAGTGGATGCATTGAAGCTCTTCTTCTAGGGGTTTACAATTTGGTTTGTATAAAATGTTTTTTGGCAAAAGCCAAATATATAATCTTTGCAACTGCTTTTCATTTTAATAAACCTAAGATTTGTTTTTCACGCACCAAATGACTCATAGCACATTTGCCCAAAAATATCTTTATGGGGGTTGAAGGCTATATAGGCTTATATATAAAATTATGTAAATATTTCTTCATGGATTGATTAAAGGTTGAAAATCAGACTATTTCAGTTCTTTTATAGGGTTGTGTATCAGTTTTACATATATTGATTTGTTTAAATTGCTGGAGGGCATATGCCCTCCCCAGAGAGAGCACGAGAGCGAGTGAAACCACTCTCAAATGGATCATGGTCATTTCACAATTCTTCCCCTTCATTTTCCCATCCTGTTGGGATTTGAGGCACACGTATGCCCAGTGTGTTTTTCAAGCTGCCGGGGCTGAGATTTGAGCCAAGGTAGGCTATGTGGAACTTGGCTTCCCTTGCCCACTAGGCTGGCCCCAATAGAACATTTAAAAATTTTTTAACTTAAAACCCACTGTCTGGAAATTATGTTTCTCATCTTCTGGAAAAGTTTAGGAGACCTGATCTAGTCTAGTATTCACTAGTCATAATTCCATAAAATCTGGAATGTCTCCAGAATTTACATGATTAATTTAACATGTAGTTTGCACTGCTTGTAAGAATTTTTACGCTAATTAATGTGATGTTCTAGATACTTAAGGTTTGCACTTTTTTTAAATGGAAAAAAAATAAGGTCTTTTTCTTGACATATTTCATATTTAAATCATTACTTGATTTAGAAAATGTATCTTGTTACATGAGGAAGATCAGTGGTTATTAAAACATTGTATCTGTATCCCAGCTATCCTGAAAACTATGCTACTTTTATTTTAAGAGTAGAAGGATATATATTTTAACTACTGGTGTGTATGAATGATTGTTAAAGGATTATCATAGTTTCAGATTTTAATTGACACTAAAATTTCTTTCCACTCAGGTCTTTTTTAAAAATTTAGACTTACAGCTTAAATTTAGCTTTTAAATTTATGTGTTAAAATATTTTAAGATTTTTTTTTGTTTGGTTTTTACTTTTGTAGGAAATAGTTGACAAACAGGGACATAGCAAAGTACTGAGTTTTACGATTCCGTCTTTATCCAAACCATCTGTGTATCATGAAGTAAGTGACATTTTATCCAAGTAAGTCATCAAGCTGTAAGTTTTGATTTTATCATAAATTGTCTAGTTATTAGGCAAAAAAGTGATCAACTTATTAATACCTAAAAAAGTATATAAGACACCACACAAAGTATTCCTGAAGTGAATTAAGAAATCAAAATTGCTGAATTTTGAGTGAAAATCCAATAGTAAGAGATCTATTGAAAGTACTCTGTGAAATATTTTTTCTCTTCCCTATGGATTAGACTGATCTAACTTTTGTGAGTGTGTGGTAGGTGTATATATCATCGTTGAATTTTTTGAAATTAAATATTTTGTAGTTCTCATTTGTGGTGTGTTTTTAAATTATTTATTAAATCTTTGCGCAGAAAATTGGGCTGACAGTCTAAATCTTTTAAAGATATATGATGTTTGTGGTAGCCATTCACAGTGATGTATAATATATATTCTAACAATCACAGTTTCACCAAAATAGCTTTTTTTCCCTTCACTTGAATGTCTTTTCTTTAGCCTTCTAGCATTGGGTCCATGGCTTTGACTGAGAGTGCACTATCCCAGCATGGTTTGTCAAAGGTTGTGTATAGTGGACCTCATCCTCAAAGGGAGATGTTGACAGCGCAGAATAGGTAGGTATACTGTGGAGAAATGAACTTCATCCCGCTTTTTTTTGTTTGTTTTTTGTTTTTTGCTATAGGGCACATGTGCTTGCCGGAGACAGAGAGAAAAGTGAGAAATCACCCCCCAAGGGGAATGGCCATGCTGTAATCCCTTCTCCTCCATTTCCTCTTGGGATTTTGGACACAAATGCATATACACCTGACGTGAGTTCCAAGCCACCAGGTCTGGGACTTGAACCATTGTCAACCATGTAGGAGTCCAGTGCCTTAACCACCATACCACCTGTTGGCTCCTACACTGATTTCTTTTTTTTTTTTTGAGAGGTTTTTGCTATAGGGCGCGTGCGCTCGCCAGACAGACAGAGAGCAACATAGAGACAGAAAGCGAGAAATCACCCCCCAGGGGGGATGGTCACGCCACAATCCCTTGTCCTCCATTCTCCTCTCAGGATCTTGGGCACCCATGCACACGCGCCCGGCGTGAGTTCTAAGCCACCAGGTCCGGGACGCGAACCGCAGTCGACTACATGGTAGTCCAGCGACATAGCCATTACGCTAACTGCTGGTTCCCCTGATTTTTAAACATATATTATTTCAGTAGATTTTTAAATTGAAATTGAGCCATTTGTTTCAGAAGAAAAACTTACCTAGATTTGTTATTGTACTTTGGCTTTAGATGTCATCTGGAACATTGAATTTTTAAGCTAGGATCATGTAGCTGTTTTTTGGAAAGGTCTTTTTCCTTTTCCTTTTTTATTGTTATTGGTGTGCTGATACTAGATAGGTCTGTTCTATAACACAGTCTCTCTCTTTTATGATTGCCGTCTCTATTATGGTTGATTAAAGATTTGTTAATACTCTTTTGGTTTGTTTTTAGGTTTGAAGTGTTGACATTCCTTTTGTTGTGTTACAATGCTGCCTTAACCTATATGCCCAGTGTATCTCTTCAATCACTGTGTCAAATTTGTTCAAGGTAAATTAAAATTCAAGTGTTCTTAATATTGAAATATGTGAATCTAGGATCACTAGTTTATTACATACCTAAGTTATTTTTAACTTGGGTCATCATTTGTCTAAAATATTGAATAAGTTAATAGAAAGCTTAACCTATCCAACTTTTCAAATGCTTTCTATAAATGATAGTCACAAAAACATAATGAAGAATGGCAAGCTTAATATTATTTAAATAGAGTATTTTTTAAGAAAATGATTCTACTTTACATCTAAAAGGATGGAACTGTTATGATCTGTTAGTTTGGGGCATTTCTTTTTTTTCTTTTATTTATTTATTAATTTAATTTTAGAAAGTTTTTTGCTATAGGGTGCTGTACTCGCCAGACAGACAGAGAGAAATAGAAAGACAGAAGGTAAGAAATCCCCCTGCCCCCTGGGGGATGGCCATGCCGCAATCTCTTTTCCTCCAATCTCCTTTCAGAATTTTGGGCACACACACACACACACATGTGCCCAGAGTGAGTTTTAAGCTACTGGGTCCAGGACTTGAACTGCGGTTGACTACAGTGGGAGTCCAGTGATGCAACCATTACACCATCTGCTGGTCCCTGTTTTTATTTATTTTTACTGTACTCTAATTTGGTATCAAGAAATAAGTAATAGATACTATTTTTTATAACTTTTCTTCTTAAAAAAGAATTAAGCCAAGATATTAGTTAAATAGAATATGATATCCTTGGGTATACTACACAAACGAGCAGAGGTGCCCAGACTTTTGAATGTCACAGATCTGTAAAATTTTAAAAAGGTGAAGCAGGTGGGTTATTGACATAGTGTTATCAATGTTTTAAAAATAATTATTTATTTAAATTCATTTATTATTATTATTTTGAATTTGACCAGTGAGAAAGAGAGGGGAGAAACTATGAAAGCAAGCTGCCAGGTCTGGGACTCAAATGGTGGTTAGTCATGTGGGAGTCCAGTGCCTTAACCACTATGCCACCTGCTGGCTCTGTGTTATTAACTGTTTATTTTGGCAAGTCATTGTAACTGTCTACCATCAACATTATTTAACAAAAGGGAGGCTACTTTGACGTAAGGGGAGAGTGAAAGGGAAGGAAAACAATTTGTAGATTAAAAATGGTATGGGAACCAGCAGTTAGCGTAATGGCTATGTCGCTGGACTCCCACGTAGTCGACCGCGGTTCGTGTCCCGGACCCGGTGGCTTAAAACTCACGCCGGGCGCGTGTGCATGC